TATATATATATATATATATATATATATACATTCTCCTGCTGCACTTGCTGCTGTAGCTCCTGCTGCACTTGCTGCTGTAGTTGGTGCTATAGTTCGTGCTGCAGCAGTGGCTGCTGCAGCAGGAGTAAGCGTAGCACACCGTGTGTGCTGCAGCAGGATTTATCATTTGCTCTGGTCCTGCTGCAGTATCTGTTGCTGCTGCAGTATCTGCTGCTGCAGTAAGTTCTGCTGCTGCAGTATATGCTGCAGCAGCAGCTGGTGCTGCAGTAACTGCTGCTGCCGATTCAGGTGTTGTGGGGCCTGCATGCTACTTGCATGCACCTGTCTCCTGTCTGCTTTTGACAAGGATGGGGGCCCTGTTAGTTTAGGGGGCCCCTTACAACAAAGACAGCTGAGGGGGCCCCCCTGTATTAATTTTATATATGGGGGGACTATACTGTTGTTGACCTGTTAGGGTTTAGGGGGCCCCTAGGGTTTATTAAGGCGGTAGTAGGGGATAGCAGCAAGAAAGAGAGAAAGGAGACACTTTTATGTGTCTCCTTTTGTCTCCTTTTGCGCTATCTTTTATGGTGTCTCCTTTTGTCTTATAAAGGAGACAAAAGGAGACAGAGACTAAAAGGGAGTCCCCTTTATTATTAAGTGCCGCAAAAGGAGACACTTAGGAGACAGGAAAAGGAGACACATTAAACAGATAAGGACAACAGATCTACTTACTAAGCAGGAGACAGACAAACAGTACAAGCATTAAACCCTAAACCCTAGCCAACACAAAATAGGAGACACCCCTAAACCCTAGAGGAGACCCTGCGATGTGCATAAACTCCCTCGTCCCCTATCTAGGGTTTAGAGTATATTATGAGGGTTTAGGGTTTATAAGGGTTTAGGGTTTATGAGGGTTTAGGGTCAATTAATCATCAGAGAATGCAGTTGGTAATCCAATAGGTACTCTTTGTGCAATAAAATCATCAAATACCCAATCAGGGGGCATCTCCATACCTCCATGCTTATAAGGGAATTTAGGCATTCCTTCTCCGTCTCCTCTTTCTTGTATTTTCTTCCCTTCTTCTATATCTTCTTTTAATTTTATTGTTGCTTGGTACTCCCTTTCTCTCTCTTGTCTTATCATTGGGCTACGTTGGACTAATTCATCCTCTAATTCTTCTTCATCTAATAAACGTTGCTGCTCCTCTGCAGTAGTTGCCATAACATCACCAGGTACAGGGGGCCCCAACGATGGGGGGGCCCCAGGGGGTACCAAGGATGAGGGAGCCCCAGCGGTACCGGAAGCGGGAGGGGCCCTAGGGACGCCTGGAGAGGAGGGGGCCCCATAGGGACGTAAGAAGGAGGTTCCCGTGGTACCCAAAGAAGATGAGGGGGCCCCAGGGGTACCTGAAGAAGCGGATACTCCAGGGGTTTGCTGCTGTGCTGGTGGTCCAGTGGTCTGTTGTGCAAGTGGTCCAGTGGTCTGCTGTTGAGCTTGTGGGGTGTCTCCATAGAGTTCTCTCCTATAAAGAAGTTGTTCCTTAACAGGACTATATTGTCTTAACATATCTTTCCTAAAGAAATTCTTATGACGATCAATTGTACGAGCAAGGGAATCCTTATAAGGGTTCCATGGTACACCCGTATACCTATATAACACAACATAATACACACACACGCACACACACATAAACAGCCCCAAAATGAATGCATGCATGCATGCATGCATGCACAGAGAGAGAGAGAGGGATGTAGCGAGCAAGGAGAGAGGGTGCTAGCTAGCTATATAGTTAGGTTGTCAGGTAGCTAGCTACCTACCTACGTACCTACCCGCTAACCCTATCTAGAGCTACCTAACTATCTACGTAGCTAGCTGGGTAGCTAGCTACCTATCTAGCTAGGTATTATATTATATTGTATATTTACCTATGTTTATCTTGGTACATATCTGGATCCGCGAACTCTTCTTCTGCATTACCATCTCTTGATGGTTTACATTTATAAAGGAGTGCATCTTTTGTTGTTTGTGCAAGGAGACAAACTTTATCTAGTGTCTCTATGAATACTTCTCTTGGTGTTGCTGATCCATCTGTATGTATCTCTATTGTTACTATTTCTCCTAAGGATTCATAAGGGAAGCGAGGAGCAGGAGCACATATATTATTCCCTTCTTTATGCTTATACTCTTCCTCTTCTTCTCGTCCTCCTTCTCCTGCTGCTGTTGCTGCTGTTGCTGCTGTAGAGTCTGCTGTTGTTGTTGCTGCATTGTTATCTGTTGTTTGTTGTTGTCCCTTGATGCTGTTGCTGTTTTTATCCTTTTGTTGTATACATACATGTCTCCCTCTGCTGTGGCTGCTGCTGCTATAAGGGAGACACCCAGCTAATGTTGTATATACAGGATCTGTATGAGGGTCCCTACCGAACCTGTCCCTCTGTGCCTGAGCATAAGAAGAATGTTTATAATATTGAATAGTTTCCTCAGCAGCAGCAGCAGGTGGTAATCCTTTAGCAGCAGCAGCAGCAGCAGCAGCAGCATGAGGAGGATTAAGTATAGATTCAGGTACTCTTTGTGCATCATAAGAAAATAATTGTACAGGAGTAATATAATTAGAGAAATAAAAATATCCTTCCTTATCTATATCCCTATTTATACTATTATATCCATACTCTGGTAGTATATATTCTTCTATTTCTTCTATTTTTATTTTTATATTTAAATAATAATTTGCACACATTGTACATAAATAATTACTCTTATTTATTATCTCTAATTCTTTAGGTAATATTATATCTCCTGCTACTGCTGCTATAGGTCCTTTTACTGATAAAGATCCTACCCATGGATTCTCAAATGTACCCTTAGGTGCTGCTGCTGCTGCTGCTGCTGCTGCTGCTGCTGTTGCTGTTGCTGCTCCTGCTGCTGTTGTTTTTGAGGGGTCACATAGTACTAATTCTTCTTCCTCTTCTTCTTCTTCCTCTTCCTCCTCCTCGTCCTCTAGGTTGGTGGGGGGCCCACCCCATAGACGGGCCCCTCCCTTATGAATTAATAGTTTATTATGATTAATTATTTTTTTTTTTTTCTTCTTTTTTTTATTTATATTTTTTTTTCTTCTGAATATAATTTGTCGTAAATTTTCTACTAAATCCTCAACATCTTCCCTCATGCCTATTACGCACATACCTATCTCTACAGGTAATCTTTTTAGGTATGCAGAGGGACTAATACCTTTTAGGTGTTGCTGCTGCTGCTGCTGCAGTAATTTTTGTCGTAATTCCTCCTTCTTCTTTTCTTGTTCTTCTTTCTCCTCTTTAGTAATCTCATGCTGCGGAGATCCGTCATTGTTTGCATTCTGCTGCTGCTGCTGCTGCTGCTGCTGTTGCTGCTGCTGCTGCTGCAGCTGCTGCTCCTGCTGTATGTGCTCCTCTAAGAAGGCTAGAGGTATTTCGCTAGGAGGAGGAGGAGGTATAGTAGGGGCGTCATCATAAGAATCAAGATGCTCAATCTTGAGGGCAGTTACTGCAGGTCTAGGTAATGTAAATGTCTCCCTTCTGCATGCATTAATAAAGGGGACATAAGCAGATGAATGAGGGGCATGGAAGTAAAAAAAGGAACTTATACCGCTACGATGAGAGACAGGGGGACTTATTTGTTGGAGACGGAAGCCGCTGCATGCAGGACCATATACATCACCAGCAGCAACTGCAGCAGCAGCAGCAGCACTTAGATGGTTCCTCTCTTCATCAGATAAACCATCATCAGACAAACCATCACGCTGCTGCTGCTCCTCCTCCTCGCTGCTGCTGCTGCTAGTGCGGTCAGCAGGAATAGGTGTCTCCTCTAATACACCAGTAGATGCATTCAGCTGAACCTCGCTGCAGCTAACTTGACCTTTAGTATCCTCCTGCAGCAGCAGAAACAACAGCAGCAACAACAGCAGCAGCAACAGCAGCAGCAGTACAACGTAAATGTCTGCGAAGAGAGAGGGGGGACACGCATAAGTTAGTCTTGGAGACAAGAGACAAGGAGACAGACACAAGAAAGAGACACCCAGGGAGACAGCAAACAGACAGAAACAGGAGGAGGAAGAAGGCAGGCGAAGAAAGGGGAAAAGAGACAGACAGAGGAACGGAAGAGACAAGGAACAGACAATGGAGGAGACAGGAGACAGGAGACAGTGGACAGGAGAGGGGCCAGAGGAGACAAGATAAAGGAGAGGAGACAGTATATATTATACTTACTGCGTATTTATATAGATAAGGCCTATAAGTTGTATAATCATAATAAAGAGGAGAAGGGGCATTTATCTCTATTTTATCTACTGAATATACCCCTATAAAAAGGAGACACAAGGAGACAAAAGGAGACAGCAAGAGATAAAAGGAGGCAAAAGGAGACAATAAGGAGGTGAAGGGCAGCAGCAACAGCAGCAGCAGCAGCTAGGGGGTCTCCAATTAGGCAAAACATATCATGAGGCGACAACATCTCTCTTGCTGCAGAAGGGAGACACAAGTTGCTGCTGCTGTTGCTGCGGTTGCTGTTGTTGCTGTTGCTGTTGCTACTGTTGCTGTTACTGTTGTTGCTGTTGCGGCAGTATATTATATATATTAATGTATCTTTCTTACAAGGAGGAAGAGGCATAGCAAGTAATCTTTTTTCTTGTTGCTGTCTCTGTGTCTCCTTATGTTTCTCCATTAACTTATGTGTCTCCGCTAGTCTCTGCATCCATCTTGCCTCAACAAATTTTCTTTCTTCTTCTGCTGCTGCTTCTGCTGCTGCTGCATTGGTGCCTAATGCATCCCTTATAGGGGCCCCCCTACCTAGAGCAGCTATACCAGCATCGGGGCCCCCCAACTCGGCTACTGCACCCCCACCTACTCCTCCTGGTGATGCACTTATAGGGGGGCCCCCCAAGGAGGTACCCATATAAGGGTCTTGCGGGAGGGCCCCGAGGCCCCTTGGTGGTAACTTAGTAGCGGGGTCCTCAAAGGAAGGGTACTGTCTCCTAAGGAGACTGTCTCCTGGTAGATCTGCTTGCATAGGAGAAGGGCGTTGTGTCCCTGCTGCTTCTGCTGCTGCTGCTGCTGCTGATACTACAGCAGCTGCTGCTGCTTCCCGCTCTTTTGCTGTTGCTTCTGCTAATGCAGTAGCTGATGCCACACGAGCTAGGCTTATAGCTATCTCCCTCTGTTCTTCTTCTGCTGCTGCTGCTGCTGCTGCTTCTGCTGCTGCTGCTTCTGCTGGTGGGTCTGCTGCAGCTCCTCCTGCTACTTCTTCTCCTGCTGCAGCCCCTCCTGCTTCTGCGCGTGCTGCAGTCGATGAGCTGGCATCGGAGACACCATGAAGGTCCCATTGCTGCTGCTGGGGGCCACGAGGAGACAGTTGGGGGCCCCTTGCTGCTGCTGGGAAGGGGGCACTTAAAGGTGCACGGGGGGCCCCTACGATAAAGGCAAACTCAGGGGCCCCCCTGTTGTATGAAAAACAAGGGGCCCCCCTAAAGAACTTGCGAGGGGCCCCCTGCCTTGGTGCTGTAGCCTGTCTATGACGGAGGGGCCCCCCGTTTCTGCCGCGACTCAAATCAGCACCCCACAACTGTTGCTGCTGCTGCTGCTGCTGCTGTTGTTGTTGTTGTAGCTGCTGCTGCTGCTGCAGGGAGTTTACATAAAGGACCCCTAAGGGGGAATGTGCTGTCTTGAGGACAGATCCATAGGCGGCACAAGAGAGGAGACAAAAAATAAATAAAATCAACAGCAAGAAAGGGGACAGGGGAACCCTACAGAGGGTCCCCCTGCATCTTGGGGGGCCCCTCGGTGAGCAGCTGCACCCGCTGCTGCAGAGACACCCCATTAGCTTGCATGCAAAGGGTTGCCCTGGGGAGGTACGGGGCCCCCTTTACTAAGAGGATGGGATGGAAGAGACAGGGGCCTTAGTACGAAATTCGGGGGCCCCATGGGTCTTAGGGGGGGCCCCCGTACGGAGGGGGCCCCCTGTAGGCCCCTTTGCTTGGGGTTTAGACAACAGATATGTTTAGCATAAACCCTAAACCCTAAACCCAAAACCCTCAACCACAAGGGACCCAGCGCAAGGAGCCCTTTGCCCTCTTATGCTAGGATCTCCTTGTCTCCTTTTATAAGGAAAAAGGAGACACTTTATTGGGGGAAAAGGATACAGTTGTCTTGTTAAGGAACCCTATGGATATTGTGTGTCCTATTATTCTTTCTTTACTTACGATTATCCCTTGTTGCTACTTCTGCTGCTGCTGCTGCTGCTGCTGTCTCCTGCTGCAGCAGCAGGTAAGACCACACAGCAGCAACACACATGCAGCAGCAAGGCCAACAGTGATTAATAACAATAAAGAAGAATTTAAAAACCAAAGAGAGTTTAGGGTTTAGGGTTTAGGGTTTAGTGTTTAGGGTTTAGGGTCTAGGGTTTAGTGTTTGGTCGGGGCCCCCAGTACCCCTGGTCCCCCTTGGGGCCCCCTGCTGCTGCTGTGCATGCGTTGCTTCTGCTTTCTCTATACGAGTGTTTATGATTTAAGGTAAAGGAGACAATTATTGTTTTTTTTATTGCTGCATCTTTTGTCTCCTTTTATATCTTTTTCTTTGCCTGCTGTCTCCTCCTAGGCCTTCCTTGGGCCTCCTCTATTCTCCGTTCTCTTCTCCTAAGGAGACAGCAGCAGCATCCGTCTCCTTTAGGGGACAATTAAGCTACAAAAGAAGCCCTGAGGAGGAGACAAGGGGCCCCCAGAGAGTAGGGGCCCCCACGTCCAGGTCCCCCGCGTTCCTAGGGTTTAGGGTTTAGGGTTTAGCTACTGATAGGAAAAGAAACATACTCTTGTGTTTGTTTATGTGTCTCTTTTGCATTTTTAAAAGGAGACACTTAAGTTGCTTGCCTGTTGCCTCTCCGTGTTAGTCCCTTTTGGAGTGTTTAGGGTTTAGGGTTTAGGGTTTAGGGTTTAGGGCTTAGGGTTTGCGGAGACAGAATGAAGGGACAGAATGCTGCTGCTGCCGGCGCTGCTGGCCAGACGCGGTGTATGAAAGGGTTTACTATACGTAAACCCCTTATTATGGGTACTTATGCCTTCAAGCTTACCCAAGCGGTAAACCCTAAACCCTAAACCCTAGAAAGAAACCCTTCTCCCCCTAAACCCTAAACCGTAGAAAGAAACCCTTCTCCCCCTAAACTCGTCATGTGCTCACACCACAATGCAGCTGTCCTTCTCCCTTCCCATGCATGCATGCATGCATATGCATCTGCATCTGCATGCATATGCATGCATTGAATTGTGCAGGAGAAGAGGAGACACAACGATATGACGCATAAATGGACCTGTCTCCTTCGTTCTCCTGATGGGGAGGATATCTCGCACTTTATAAGAAAAGTTGTCTTTGAATTAGATCCTTCTTTTGTAAACCCTAGAAGAAGTAAGTGTCTCCTTATTTATTTATTCTCTCTTTTTGTCTCCTCTTTGGAGATTCAAGGGTTTGCATGAAGGGTTTAGGGTTTAGGATCTAGGGTTTGGGGTTTGCTGTGGCAGAGTTGGGGTTTAGGGTTTACAGGCTTACAGTTTCCTGTCTCCTTCTTCTCCTGCTTTGTTGTACCCTGTTGTCTCCTTTTGCCTCTCCCTCTCCTCCTGTCCCCTTTTATCATTATGCCTCCTGTTGTCTGTAATTCTCCCTGTCTCCTTTTGTCCCTTTGTCTCCTTTTTTCTTTGTGTATGGATATCCCTCTGAGTCGTCTGTATTTATGTCCCTATACAAATATTTTTTTATCTCCCCATGTCTTCGTGCCTCCGCGTATTTATATCCATATTTAATTAACTAATTAATTAATTTATATTAATTAATTAATTAATTAATTTATTTATTTATTTATTTATTTATTTATTTAGCCTTAACTATGCCTCCTTATGAGGTCTCCGAGGCCGGTTGGGGTGAATTTGACATTTCGGCCAAAATTTTTCTGATAGACGAAAGTTTGCCTCCTGTAGAAATGTCCCATTTCCTTAAGGTAATTAGGGGGAGGAAAAGGGACTATTAAGAGACATTTAGGTATTTAAGACAATAAAAGGAGACACTTATGATATATTTATACAGTTATGATTATACACGGAGACAATAGGGACAGATAGAGCTATCTAGGGTAGTAAAGGGAGACAGTGTAGGGACACAACAAAGAGACAGCTCGAGGGATCAAGGGGGACGCTATGGAAACGAGGGGACAAATTAGACAGGAAAAGGAGACAGTGTAGACAGGAGGAGACAGTATAAGGAAAGAAACACTCAAGAATAGAAGGGGACACGTTAATCCTCCTCTGTGTGTCTCCTTTACCGCAGCTAAACCTCGCTGGTGCACCACAGGGCCCTTGTATCGCTTCAGAGGTGAGGAGGGTTAGGGTTTAGGGTTTAGGGTTTAGGGCTTAGGGTTTGTACCTCTATCTCTTCTTGTGTGCTGTTGTAGCCCTTCCCTGTTGCTGCTTGTGTCTCTAGTTGTCTCCTTTTGTCTCCTTCTGTCAATGTGTCTCTCTTGTAAACATTTTGTATGTTGGCGCTTGCCTTGTCTGTCTTCTTTTCTTTGTCTAGATGGTTCTCTCTGTTCCCATTTCTTTATATGTCTCCTTACATCTGTCTCCTCTTTGCCGCCTTGCCCTCCTCTTCTGCGTGGATTGGCCTCCCCTAGAGTATTTGGTTCCTGTCTCCTTTCTACTCTCTCCTTCGTGTGCTGTCTCCTTTATTCTGTTTCCTGTCTGTGCTATGGCCTATGTGCTGTCCCCTGTGTGAGGTATCTCCTCCCCGTTGTCTCCTTTGTGTGCCATACCCCCCCCCAAAGTGTGTCCTCTATCTCCTGTGTCTCCTCTGTAGACATATGACGAGTTGTTAATCCACGAGCCTGCAGAATGGTTCTATGACAATTTAACAGCTGTCCCTATAGGGGAGGCTGCCCCTCATCCTTTAAGTCCTTATTTCTTAAAGCCTCAAGAGAACGAAGAGAAACAATTACAGCTTTATATGGGACTTCAGGCCTATGTCCAGGTGACACACTAGCATTATTACCTCTAGCTTTTTTCTTGTGCTGCTGTTGCTGTTGTTGCTGCTACGGCTGCTGCTATTCTGTATACTGTTGCTGTCGCATATGTTCGGTTATAATGATGCTGTTGCTGCTGCTCTGTATGCTGCTATTACTGATGCTGCTGCACGCCCTCTTGCTTCCAGGGATTCTTCTGCATTGTTTCTCATATTGCTGCTTCTGCTCCTGCATGCGATGGAGATACTCGCTGCTGCTGGTTATGTTGATGCTGCTGCCGCTGCTCCCCAGCTGTTGTTGCTTCTGCTGCTGCTGCATGCAAACGAGGGGATGTCTACGATTGTGCCTGCTGGTGTATCCCTCTGTCTGTATCTTTTTTTATTCAGACGGAGACAATCAGTTTAATGCAAGATGCTTTCCTTTTGTCTCTGAGGATACAAGAGCTGCAGCGCCAGCACGAGGCCCTCACGACAGGCAAGGCTACAGGCGCCGCTGCTGCTTCGGGGGCAACAGCAGCAGCAGCAGCAGCTGGTGCTGGTGCTGCCGGTACGTCTGCTCCAGGTACAGCAGCTACGAGTAATGAGGAAGCAGCTGGTGCTGCCGGTACTGCTCCAGGAGCTCCTGGGCTAGCCAGAAGCGCCTGTCTCCCCGCAGGAGGAGACGCATTTGCTGCAGCAGCAAAACGACAGATCAGCAGCGGCTTTGCTGCTCCGATAAGCAATACACCCTCATTAACTGGTGTGGGTCCCCGGGGCCCCAACATGCCAGCTGCTGCTGCAGCGTACGGCCCCCCTCCGAAGTCGCCCATGCTGCCAGCAGCAGCAGCAACAGCAGCACATCACGACCCACAACCGGCGCAACCCCACCAGCAGAACAACGCTCCCATGCCAGCACAGCCCCATATGGCGCAGCCGATGCATGCGCAGCAGCAGCAGCATGTGCTGCAACAGCAGCAACACCAGCAGGTGCAGCATCAACAGTTCCTGCAGCAGCAACAAATGCTGCAGCAGCAACAACGACAGATGATGCAGCAACAGCAGCCAACACCCTACCTCCACAAACAAGCCCATCCGGCAGCCTCTCCTCAGCAGCAGCAACAGCAGCAGCCGCAGCAGCAGCCGGCTGTGGTGCAGCAGCAGGCGATGGGTCAGATGCCTGTAGGGCCCGGGCCCATGTAAAGCTTATTAATACTCCGTGCATGTTTCTCATATAGGGATCTGCTACAATCAAATGGAGGTGCATCCATGAATGCATGCATGCAGGCCTCCATTTATACATGCATGCGCGCATGCATGCATGAACACCTGCATGCATAGTAGTATGCTTGCAGGCAATCATGCACGCAGGTGCATAGCTAATTTTTTGGGACTGGAACATGCATTCATCCATGCAAGCATGCATACAAGTTTGTTACATAAAGAGTTAAAAATGGGGATGAGTGTTTCCGACGGACTGCTGCTGCCTCTGCTGTTGCTTCTGGCTGGCTGGCTGGCTGGCAGGCAGTCTCCTTTGGAGCAGGGCGTGTGGACATGCTCCCCATTGTGGAGCAGACCTTTTGAACCGTTTACAAAGGAGACAGATGCAATATTGTATAGTTGAAGGCTAGCTCTCTCCTTGAGTACCTAGCTAGCGAGCACGCATCTAACTCCACCTTTCCTAGTGTTACAGCTAGCCAGTTAGGTAACTTGTCTACCTAGGTAGCCACATGGCTAATGGTGTCGCCACTGTAAGAAAACACTCGAATGGGTCTAATGCTGTGCTGTCTTGCAGCTGCCTAGACACTGCGCTAGCTGTCTTCCGTAGGGCAGTAGACAGGAGACAGATACCTTACCCCACAACGAGTGGTTGCCGTGGGGATGATTCCTCCCATACAGAGACGGCTACGGAAACGAGATGGGCAAGAGACAGCTAGGTATGGAGGCACTCGAGTGAGTCTAATGCCTTGCTCTTTTGCAGCAATCTAGGCACTGCCCTAGCTGCTTAATGTAGGGTTGTAGCTAGCTGTCTTCCTCACATACAGAGGCAATTGTTGTTGCCTGTCGCAGAGGCTTGATCTTTCTTTGAGGGAACAGTTGGTTGCGTTTGTAACAGAAAGCAAGTTGCTTTCTGAAGGAGAGACCTATCTGGATCCGCAGCCCAAGGTACCCAGCTAGCTGGCGTATCACCGGGCCTGCAGAGGAGCGGCCACACTTTTCAGGAGATTTGGGCCCCCCCCCGGGCCACTTAAGGTTTAAAGTGTCTCCTGTATGCGTATGTAAAAGGAGACACTCGGGAAGAATGCACTTGCTGCAGTTGCCGTCTCCTTTACCCCTTCGGAGACAGGCGCAGCAGACCAAGGTCACCTGTCATCTGGAGGGGGCGAAGCCAGCTTGAGGGGTAGGCAGGGCCAGGGCCTCACTACCCTCAATATCTTAAGGGAGACTCAAGAAAAGAAACATAAATGGAGACACCTACAGCACTTAAGCAAGCTAACAACTCCCAGTTGTGTGGGGCGACGCCTGCCGTCTCGGGGCAGCAGCAACTGTCTCCTGAGCGCTGTTAGGAGAAGGCAGGGAGGAGAAAAGCCTTCTTCTTCTCCTTCTTGTCTTCTTAGGACAACAACTTAACTGTCTCCTTCCCATCCTTCTGTTCTCCTCTTCTAGCTCCCTTGAGGTGTACGTACACTGCAGAGGAGGCCGCGATGCTCTGTTGCTGCCGTTGAGTCCAAAGAAGGGCCTGCAGCGCTTGCTGCTGCTCCTGCTCAAGTATCTACGCCTGCGGCAAAACCCTACAGGTGAAGGCTGTTTCTGCTGCTTTTGCTGCTTCTGTGCGCTGGGTTGGGTCTTCTTCACTCTCCGAATAACTGTCGGCAGGCCTACAAGGCCACACGAGACACTCTAGCAAGATATAAGGACCCCAATAGATTTGCTCGCTTTCGCCCTGTAGAGACTGCTGAGGGCTCGCCCTACAATGGTGCTCCCGCCTCTGTTGCTTTGCACCCGCTAGCCGCCTCTCCTTTCGGCCCGCTAGCAGCAGACACAGCTGCTGCTGCTGCTGCAGCTGTTGCTGTTGCCTTATTGAGGCGTACGTATTGCCAACTGGGCCAGTTCCAACTCCTTCCTTCCTCACACAAGGCAACTGAGCTGTCTCTGCATGCGCATTACTAAGGCGGTACAATTTGCTGCTGAGCCCCACAGGCACACCGCACCATGGAGACTCCCAAGGGTGTCTCCTTCTTAGTAGCTGTGGGCTTTTGTGTTCTTTCCCTTGCACATGTTGGGGGAGCGGACCCTCTTACGGAGGGTCTTCCCGTACCCAGGGATATTGCTGTCTCGTACTCAGTGTCTCCCTCGGACGAACTCTCTGCTGCAAGCTCCTCACGTGTGACTCCTGATGAATTAGCAGCAGGAGGAGGGGAAGCAGGAGCACCAACAGGAGCAGCAGCAGGAGAAGCAGAAGGAGTAGCAGCAGCTGCCGATGAGGCCCTGGAGATTCCGCAGCTCCCCGTGGGTCCCTCGGATGATGGGTTATTGAATAAGGAAGGCAAGATCATCGAGGAAGAGACACTTCCCCCTATCCTTAAGTCTATCTCCTCTGCCTCTACTAACAGGGGAGATATCGAGTGGGTACAACTGGTCACAGAGAGACAACGTCTAACTCTTACAGCAAAGATTATAGGGAAAACAAACCCACGACCCCCTATCCGTTTCATGCACGACACTTTGAACCTCCCTAGGTCTTATAGCAGCGACACCAACGATGAAGGCAGCAGCACCAGCGGCAGCGGGAGCAGTGACAGAAACAGCAGTGAGAGGAGTAGCAATGGCAACAACAGCAGTGGCAGGAGCAGCAGTGGTAGCAGCAGCAACAGCAGTAGCAAATCATCAGACAAGCCAGCAGCCCCTGAAGCAACAGCGGATACTGCTGCCGCGGAGACACCTGAAGGAGCCGAAGTCCCCTTATTCTCCTATATAAAGACACAGCGGCAGGGAACTACGAGGAGACGCTTGGAGGCCCCTAGCCAAGTACAACTTGTTGTTGAAGTTGAGGAGATGCAGCAGCAGTCTCCTGTCCTCTATGCCTTTCGATGGGGCAAGCCAGGTTAGCTTGTTAAATTGCATGCAATTGAGGACCCCCACAGGGACCCTACAGACAGGCGCATTTTCGCACGAAAAACGACAGCACGGTGGAGGCACAGAGGGGCAACACAGAGGAGACCGTGAACAGCACACACACAGCACAGATGAGACAGGCACACAACAATGGACACAGAGGAACAGCTTCAAAGAGGCAGAGAGAGCGTACAGAGGAGACGAAGAAAGATAGGACAAAGAAGACAGGCAGCCAGCACAGAAGAGATGCTCCAAGCCAAATAAACTTTTCCTAAGAGGCAAAAAGGAGACAGCGCATGCAGGCAGCAGAAGCAGGTAGTGGGGGAGGCAGCATCACTGGCATGTAGCTAATCAAGAGGCAGATATCTCCTTAGGGATTAGGAGATAGACGATCTCTTTTAGTTCCAAGTCTCCCAACAGCTAAGTGTTTCATTCAAGAACTCTTTGTCTCTTGGTATCTTTAAATATGTTAAATATGATTCACAGTAGAGTTGAGTAAAATATTTACAGGTATGGAGGGAAGGCCGTTTGTAACGCATATCTTGAGGGAAAGTTCTAAGGAGCAGCTCTTTGTAGTCAGAGCGAAGGAGGCAGCTCAGCCTCTTATCTCTTCTGTTGGTTTGCAAAATATGGAACTTCTTGCATTCACATGTCTAGAGACAGCAGTTTGTAACTGACCATTTGTACAGACAGGCTGCAAGCAAGGTGCTTATATTCGTAGTGGCGACTGCTACCTATTGTCTCCGCCTCCTCCGTCTCCTATCTCCTTCCGGTAGTGCTGCTTTTCACAGGTGCTCCCTGGGCATGCACGTGGTCCTTCTGTGCATTTCTTCTGTCTGTCTCCGCCTTTGCAGCAACATGGGCGGACTACGACTATCTCCTGGAGGCCTACGAAGCTGGGGTGTATGTGCTGCACCTGCAGGAGCCGCTGCATTTCCCTGCACATGTGTCTCCTCGTTTGCATGCACAAGCCAGCAGTAGCACAGTGTCTCCTTTGCTCCCTCGCATCCGCAAGAGGGCCCCAGATGAAGATTTCTCCGCTTCACGTACACCTGGCTTCAGACGAGTCGATGGCGGCCAGGGATGCATGGCCCCGGGGGGCCCCTGGAGACAGGAAGACAACATGGCACTTGGGGGAGACCCTTTAACCCGTTCTTCTTCTGTCCCCCTTTACTACACCATCCAATTTGCACCGGATAGAGGGGCGATCACAGCAGAGCCCGTCAAAGCAAATAGTTATGTGCAACACATAATTTGCCTTGTCTTCGGAGGGCCTCCTCTGCTGCAGCTCTTCCCTCAAGCCAGCAACAGGTTACTTCAGATGCCGCTGCACCAAGAACCGTTGCTGCTGCCACAGGGAGACAATGCAGCACATTCCCACACCACAGGCATTAAGGAAGGCGTCTCCAAGGGAGACGCAGAGGACGGGATACCCGAAGAAATACAAGCAGAGGAGACAGTTGAGGAGGCCCTTGAGGTCAGCAGACAACGGCGATCGGGACTTGCATGCACACGGGTATCTGAGCTTCCTTGGGTGCAAGGAGAGGCCCACTCTTACGCTGGCTCCTCCAGCGCTAAGGGCAAGGGACAAGGACTCCCTTTGGCTTCCCCTGAGGGGCTTCTGTTACACTCGAAGCAGCACGATAAGCTAAACGCAGGCGGTACGGCAGAGCTGCGGAGGCGACAGGTGTCTCCTGTGTCTGCACGGGAGGACTGCAGTCTCCCATACTCGGACTTTGTATTTTACACCGATCCCCTGCTCTTCAGCAGCAAGCCCTTCCACGTCCCACAAACGCCGGAGACGTACACCAGGGCCCTGTTTCCAACTTGGAGAAGAGCCAACGCTGAGGCGCCCTTAAAGGCTCCCCACCAGACTGATGAAGACCCTCTTGAGGAGACACCACCTGCGAGCCCGAGCGGCAGCAGCGTGTACTGCAACAACAGGGACACTAGTAGAGGTAGCTGCACCAGCGGGAGAGGTGCTTTGTCTCTCGTTGAAGGAGACAATTCCGCCCGACAGCTGCGGCTCGCCCCATCTGTCACATTTGGCTGGCGGCAGCTTGTGCTTCACAGCGGTTCAGAGAGACCCCCGAAAGGAGACAGTCCCCCGTCCCTTCCTAACGAAGCCACCCTGATGGATTTGCTAGAGACAGGTCAAAGCCCGTGCGCGCTGCTACAGTTCAGAGGAATGGAAGGCTCAGAAGATCCCCATGCCGGGCCTCCCCCTGCTGCAAGCGTCTCTTCCGTGAGCTCCTGCTCCGCATTTCAAGGGGCCGCCCGTGAGGGTGTACTGACAGCTGAGGAGCTAGCCAGCCCGGCAGGAGTCTCGTGGGTGCTCCCAAGGACGTTGCTGCCCCTTGAAATGCAAAGGGCGTCAGGCGCTGTGGTGTATAGACTCCGTCTCCTACAGACGGTGCCCAGGGTCTTTTCGTCCCCTCCCCAGCAGCCCGCCCTACACGATCGAGACCTACAGCACCACCTCAAATTACCTAATTGCTGCCACGAAGGCAACCAGATGCAGCAGCAACAACGGGGGCAGGAGGAGCGGCAGGAAGGGCACCAACAGCATCATGAGCAGAAGAGGCAGGAAGAGAAGCAGCAGCTGGAGAAGCAGAAGGAAGAGCAGCAGCAGCAGAAAGGGCGACGGCTGGAAGAGCTGCAGCAGCAGACCCAGCAGCAGACCCAGCAGGGAACGTTGTGGGTTCTGGAGCAGGCTTTGGAAGTCCACGAGCCAGGGTTTGGTGAGTGGCGTCTGGGGATGCGGCGGCTAAGTAGCGGGTTCCTACGTGGAAACCCCTCCAAGGAGGGGGCCCCTTCGACTTCAGACGTCGTGACGATCTTTGCCTTGCAGCGGTCCTGTAAGTCTGTCCTTACAGAGGCCTCCTCGAGGTGTCTGCTTCAGCTTTCTTCCCCTCCGTGTGCACTACGGAGACACAATATCCATTCCGGGGGATTCCTCTCTAAGCTTCTATACAAAGCGAAGGGAGGCGAAACAGACCCGTCTTCTGAAGCTGTCGCTGTGCCCGGCTCTGAGTTTCTACAAGGAAGCCAGACAGACAAGGCTGAAATCGAGGCGGGCACATCAACAGCAGCAACAACAACAGCAGCAGCGCCACCAACAACAACCACAGCACCAACAGCAAAAACAACAACAAAAACAACAATAACAGCAGTAGAAGAAGCAGACCAGCTTCCGATTCCCGAGCAAAGTATCCGCAAACCGGACGGAGACTGCGTGTGGTGCAACACCGCCATCTTACCTTTTACATCATCTTCATTCTTTCGTCCCAATCTGTTGCAGGTTTCCACTACAGTCGGGGCCCCCTCTCTGATACAGCCTGGCCCTTCCTCCTCTTCTCCAACGAGGCCAACTGCAGCAGAAGCCCGCCGACTAGGTGCTGCTGCGCAGGAGACACCCCTAAGGGAGTCTAAAGACGATGCCGCTACTCCCCAATGGCGACCTGTTGGGCCACCGTCCTTCACCGCCCTCTCTCTAACCCCCCACACAGCCTCCGGAGGGCGTCACCTCTCTGTCAACGTTGATATGTCTCCTTTTGTCTTCTCCAAGAACAGGCGTTGCGCCCCTCTCCTGAGCGCGATGCACCCACAAGCACACGACGACGGACAGGCCAAGGAAGAGGAGCAATACAAGCAGCTACTGCTGTTTCGAAGCAGGCCCCTGTACTTTTACTCTCTCGCTCTTGTCGTAACCAGGGACGCAGTCACTCCTCAACCCAAGCTCTGGTGGGTGGGGCTAAAGAGAGGGCTGGCTGCTGCTGCCACAAACAAGGCCAACCAAAGGACCCCGAAAAGACACGCCCTTTTGCGACTCCCTATATTCTGCGAGGCGGAGACAGAAGACGATGACGACCAGTTATTTGGGGGACTTTCAGGGGGCCCTCTGTTCCAGAAGACGGCGGGAAAAACAAGGGCAGCCTCTCTAGGCGGCCACCCGTGGAGAGTTGAGGCCCAGCTGCTGCCTCCCGACTTCAATTTCCTGCCGACAACCTACCTGCTGCAGTGGCAGCTGCTGGAGACAGAGGAGACGCCGGATGCTGCCTTATTCTCTGCAGAAGCAGAGACACCAACGACATACATGGAGGAAATTGTACCGGACGTATCTGACGCTGACCTCAGGCTACACCTGCGTGCCTCGTCAGACGTGACCCGTCTCTGCAGTGAGGTACGAGTGCCTGTGTCTTGCCGCTGTTGCTGCCGTTGATACTGCTGTTTCTTTCACCGAAAAAGCCGCCCAACCCCACCGCTTCCAGCCCTGTCCCTATGTCGCCATTCCCTTGAGCGTCTCGATATAACAGCATTAGGTGTATATATATGCATATATTCCACATATATATTAACTTGCGCATGCGTGTCTCAGCCTTGTCCTGAGTTTGGTTCCTGTGCGATCACGGACCGCGTTGATGGGTTTGCTGTGTTGGGTTGTCGCTGTGCATACGGCTTCGGTGGGGCGACATGCGGGGCTGAGGTCATGAGCCCTTGGCTGCGAACGCTTGCGCAAGCTCTGCTTGTCTTGTCTAATTTGGCCATGCTGCCCAGTGCGCTTCTCTGCCTAAGACTCGCCGTCCGACACCTTAACCTGCCTGGGAACCCCAACGCATGCGCTCGCTGCAAAGCCAAACGCCTGCACGACATGGACATGCACGCGAATGCAGACGGCCCCAGCCACGCACACTGTCTCCTCTACGCACTCAGGGCTGCAGCCTATCTTAACGCATGTACGCTCTACTCATCCCTCACAGAACCTACAACTGTGCATGCTCACGGCGCCTAGCAGCACTAACAGCAACACCAGCAGCGCCAAAGCGAGCAGCACCAGCAGGGATGCCTGCAGTGTGGCGGAATAAGGAAAGCAAACGGTTGTCTCTTGTGTGTGAACTTGATTGTGGCGAGTTACGTGTCGCCGTCTTTTTGTTTGTGCTGGCTTTGTTTGTTTATTTAGCTATTTGCCTCTGCACCTGGTGTCATTGTGTTTGTATTGTGAGAATTTGTACTCTATTTTTTGTTTGGATTTACGCTGTGTAGGGTCCCATATCGTTGGTGCCATTAATGCATTTCGATGTACCTTATTCCTTTCCTCTGTTAAATTCTGCTGTCAGTGTTCCTGCTGTCTGTGCTGCCGTTGACAGTGCAGGGTTGTGTTTTTATTTCTATTATTCTTTTATTGGCACAACTACTTTATGTAGGATGTATTATCCGCGCTTGCGCGTCTTGCTATAAACTTTTTGGTTGTTTATTCCTAGTGTGGGTTTTTAGTGTATGCTCTTTTGTTCGACCCATTTCGATTTTAAGATTCTTATTTCTGGTATGCATTTTGTTAGTGTATGCTTGTTGCCGTCTTAGGGTCTCCTTCGTAAAAGTCACTTATGCATCATGGTTCGATACAGCGTATGTTATTAGTGTGCGGTGCTTCTGTAGTGTATGTTGTAGGCGTTTGCTGTGGACGGGGCATATTTCTGTTGTTATTGTGTGTTGTGTGTCATCGTGCTGCTGCAGTCCTGTGGTCGTCTCTTTACCACTCTTGCGTTGATGGGTTGGCCCGGCTTCCTCTGGGGGTGCCGTTGCTGCAGCGATTGGATTATCTGTCTTCTTACTTCGCGTTGGTTGTAACTGCAGTCGCGTTTTCTGCTGTGGGTTCTGCTGCAGTGGAGTTAGTGGGACTGAGTGTGCTGCTGATGCTACTGACTTGCAGAGTCTTGCCAGAGACATTTGAGCCCCTCGACGTCGCCTGCTTTGTCTGCGTGTGCGTGGCGCTGCCTCTAGTCAGCCTCGCATTGAAGGCGAGTCTGCTGTGGAATAGACAGAAAGCTGTGCAGACACTGCAGCTGCAGCTGCAAGAGGACTTGCAGCACTGGCAACCACAAGACCTAAAGTGGCTCGACAGCCCATCGGGTGGGGGGCCCAAAGAAAAGGAGATAGTCCCTAGTGCCTCGGAAGAACTCCATGCAGAGCAGCAGCAGCAGCACTGCGAGCTACAGCAGCTGCTTACACACAAAATGACAGAGGCCAGAGAGAAAATATGTCTCCAATCTTTGGGGCAAGCAGTGGCACTTCTTGAGGTGGCTGGGAGGTGCCGCATCGAGCTGTGCTGCAGCTGCTGCTGCTGCAGTACTTGCAGCAGCAAGCGTCCATACAACTACACGCAGGCTGCCCTCTGTTGCTTAAAATCAGCCAGCACCGCTTTTCTGCAGCATCCTGGTTCCTCCGAATCCGACATCCAGAGAACCAACTCTAACCTCAAGACAGTAGACAAAAACCCCGCAAGCTGGCTTACCTGTCTCGCCCTCGTCCTTACAGACACGGCCCCCAGGCTCGAGTTCCTTGCCCTCGGAATACTCTTGGCTACACTTGGTCAGCCAACTAAACTAATCCAAATAAACCAAAGAAAATCATCAACTAAACATAAATACGTACACAAAAAACACAGGCACAAACAAACAGACAGAGGTGCATCCGCAAAGACATGAACACCAAAAAACAGAGGTAGCCCAGTGTCAGACGGATATAGATAGTCCGGCGGACAGAGAGTGAGAAAGACAAACACACCGACAGGCATACGTAGAGACAGCGAGTGAGATGGACACGGAGTGCCAAGGAGAGTGAAAGAGCGCGATGGACATAAGTGTACTATTATGCATAACCGTCGAGTGTATGAACACGGTAAAACAGTGTAGTCGTGGCCTGCAAACAGCACGATATTTTTTTTAAGAAGCGCACCAGGGTCCATCTCGGTTGCCAGACTCTTCCGCCTTTGCCTCTTGCCGTTTTATTGTGTGAACTGCACTACGCATATCTGTTTCTGTTCGTGTCTCAGTCCCTCTAGGTCTGCCCAATATATATATCTGTGCATGTGTGTATCTGTATCTGCATGCATGGCTGCCTCGACGCCTGTCCCTCTGCCGTGTGTGTGTGTGTGTGTGTGTGTGTGTGTCTGTGTGTGTGTGTATGTGTATGTGTATGTGTGTGTCTGTGTGTGTGTGTCTGTGTGTGTCTGTGTGTGTCTGTGTTTGTCTGTGGGACATATGCGTTGCTTACAGGTGCTGGATGCTTCAGCGTGGGCGAGCTCAGTGCACATTACTGGTTGCTGCACTCGTGTTGGCACGTATCAATTCAACTGTCAACGTGCTGCATTCTTCTGTCTCTGCTGAGCCACCCGCTGCTCGCCCATCTGCGCGACCCCCCAACCCCCTCCTCAGCCTTCGAGTGCAGCACTCCAGCTCGTTCTCTGAGTGAAGCTGTGGTCTCAGGAGACCACCACCTGCATGGTGGATCGGTTCAAACAGCAGACACCAGCAATGCACACAGCCCGCTAGCAGAGGGCTTCTGGAGGGTCCTCAACCACAGCCAGATGCACCTCCTGGCCCTGCAAGCTCAGGCACACACACCCTACCCTCACCCCATACAGACGCCAAGGCAGACAGGGCCAGAACAAGGTACAGAAACAGCATCTATGCAGCAGCTGCACCGAGAAGGAGACACCAGAGAAGTCTCCCTCTACCCTCAAGCAGGATTGGAGTCCCTCCTGGGGGTTTTGGCTCCCCACGCCAACGCCCAGCAGCTCCTACAGACCTTCACACGGCTGCTGGTCCTGCAATACAGCGCGCACAAGAGACACTGCAGGGAAGAGAGCAACAACACGAAAGGTCAAAGAGGTATAGAGGAGCACACACAGCCCTCCCCCACCTACGGCGACGAGGATATCGTAAGGGTAGGAACAGCATCCGCCCTCTCCCCACAGACGGCATCCCCACAAACTGCCCAGTTGACCAGCCCCACAAGTTCTGTAGGCTCTGCAAGCTCTGCAGGTTCTGCGTGCGGCAGCGAGTGGACAGAGTCTGGCTGCCTCTGGTGCATAGCACGAAGGGTATTGACAGAGGAGAACCTCCTGAAACTGTACTACGAACGGGTCAAGTGGACCTGCCGCTTGCGGCTCAGGCCCACTTTCAGCTGCCTGCTGTTCCCCCGTTGGGTGTGGCAACCTACGGAGACAGACAGGAGAAACAATCAGAGACACTTGCCTATCCCCCACACAGACGTCCTCTTGTACTCCTAAGAAGCAGGCAGCTCCGGGTGCTGTATCCCTGACAGCACAAACTCAATAGCATCTCTACACAGCTGGCTCGCTTCTTGGCATATCCGCTTTAACATCATTTACACCTGCTGCTTCCGATCCTGTCTTCGAGTCTGTCTTCACGTGGCTCTGCAAGCTCATTGGCTGCTGCTACAGCAGAAGGAGCAGGGGATTTAAGGCGGATCCCCAGAGGTGGCCTTTGAAACTCGGTGTGAAACTCGGTTTATGTCACTGTGTCCCCTTTGATAGCTGGGACGCCCAAACTCAAGGCTCAACTGAGGTGCAGATGATTTGAAAGGGAGCAGACGCGCCCGTAGTCACCGTAAGAAGAGGCATCGCCCACGGCAGAGGTGTCTTGCGCGCCTCTCAACGATAGGCGACCTGGCCCTTTCCCTGTTGGGCCTGCGATTCCTACATAAAGTCTACACTGGATACTGCAGGGGCAGAGTTTGAGAACGAAGACAACCAGCGGAGGCAGAAACCTCTTGAAACCAAGGAGCTCCCAGCGAGTTGGTATCTATCCACCGCTTTGCAAATAGGCACAGGCCTTCGAGGTCTAGTTTTCTGCTAATGAGCACGTTAGATACTGCAGCAGAACTGTTTGTTTTGCGATACAGGCAGCTGCAAGGAGGGTACTGCTGTGGGTCCCTTCAGCAGGGGGGCTCCTCTTGTCAACCAATAAACGGGCTCCATTCAGCAGCAGCAGCACATAGCTTCACTTAATTGCTGTCTCTGCTTGCAGACCCAAAAGCCAGCAGATGTCTTAAGGGCGGGACACAAAAATTCACCCTAGGGACTACGGCTGCTCACTACAACTGCGTAATCGTAATTTGCCATTCTTGTGCGAATAGACTAAGAGGGGGCAAGCAGACAGTTTGAAACAGACAAAAATACATGGGAACCCGATTATACAGCGGGACTATGAGGAAGGATATACAGCCAAACGCCCTGATTGTAGAAAGGCTCAGATGTTTTGTTGGGCGGTGCTGGAGTGCATTAAGAAGCTCCTGTGTCCCCTCTCCTCTAGGGCTTCTTCTGGTGCTGCTGCTGTGAACGGTGTCTTCTTGCGCAGACACCCTGCAGTGTCTGCGAAGAGGGCACTGAGGAGAGATTGCCTTGCTTATGTGGGAGCAACAAATAGCCCAATTGCATGGGTCTCTCCGGCAATGCATGTTTACATGCAGCCAGCCAGCCCATTCTGCTGCTGGCTGTGGAGTCAGCTGCTTGAACAGCACCAGGGGGGGAGAAAGTGTTGGCAGTTTCCCCCTGTCTCGCTTTGTCCAAAAGGACCTCTACGAACACCGTTGTGACTTTAAGTGCAGCAAGGCGAGGAGCCGGCGGTTATTGTTCTTTTTGCTGCTGAGTCCCTTCTTGTGAGGTAACTGCAGCCTGCACGTCCGAGGTGGCATTGGAGGAAGTGCCACCGGCCCGCATGCAGCTTCTTGTGCGTTTATTGAGGCTGCTGCTTGTGGTAAACAGCTGCCACCGCGGAACCAACAAACGGCGTAAACAACACTAGAGGTACGATTTTCTACTTGGTACGTATATGTTCTGTATACTACGTCTCTATGCGGTGTTCCAGAAGCTGCCACTGCTGCCCTAGAGAGGGCTGTACAGTCGCGAACTTAGGCGGGTCCCCGCCCTTAGCTTCGAACGGCCATTGCTGGGCTGGCAGGGAACCACAGGGACCCCTACCCTACTCTGCGGGGCCTTCCTGCTGCTTGCAGAATGCGAAGGCGCTGCGCTGGCTGCTCGCATCCGCTGTCTTTGCCCTCCGCTCCGAAGGACTCCAGAGGCGAGAGCAGCAGGAGACAGAGAACACGCCGCTGCCACATACAATCTTGTCGCAGTCGCTGCTGCTGCTTTTGCTCTCGCTGCCGCAGCTGCTGTCTCTGCTGCACCTCCCTTGGAGGCTTTCGCACCGCTGGAATGCTGCGACAAGAGCCTCCTAGAGCTGGGAATAACAGCCACAGTAATTGGGTCTCCGTGGTGGCGCTGCGACGGGCCCCTGGAGGGCCCAGCAGGCCCGGCTTTCCGGCTCGCGAGGGACGGACTGGTGCTACAAGGGCGGAGACGGCATGAGGGAAGCTTGGAGGGAGGGCGGCGGGCGCAGCTGCAGCTGCAACAGCTGCTGTTGTTGCTGTTTATGTGGGGAAGGTCTTTAGGCACTGCTGGGTTAACAGGTACCGAAGGTATGGTGGGGCGGCACCTGGATTGATGCGCCTTTTTTCCTTCGGTGGGGGAGGAATTATTGCATTTGGTCTTTCCAGGAGGCATAAAAGTCTGTGGCTGCTTCACCTGTGTCCGCAGCTCCTTCTGGCTCAGGCTATTGTGGGGGCAGACCTCGAGGGACACTGCACGCCCTGACTCCTTTTGTTTTTTTTTGAGGTATCGGAATTCCTCTTCCTGAAGCAAAAATGAGACAGGCGGACACACGAACCAATGAAGAAGCAGACAGCCTTTCATGTCTTCAGACGCCGGCACAACAATGGGATACTACAGGGGAAGCAGTCCATCTGCCGCGCGTGCTGCTGATTCTGCTTCTGCGCCAAAGCAGACCCCCAGAGATCGTCACTAGATGTAGCTCCTTATACTGCGTGCGCCTGCAGGCGTATCCTAGCGGTAGCAACAGAAGAAGACTGTTGGGGTGTGTCGCTGACCTCAAAGCTGCGAATGAAGTCCATTGCTGTGTACTCTCTGCCGTCAAAGGAGACCCATAGCTCCCCTGAAGGGCTGAGACGCATAGCAACTGCCAGGTGCCCGTACAGATAAACGCCGCTGCAGATGCGCGTAAACAGAACTTTGTTGATTCTGAGGCAGAGTCAGAGACAGGCGGCATTAAGCAAACGACACCGCTTCGCTCCACCTAGGAGAGACAGAGATCCCCTCAATTCTGAAATTAAAGCAGCCCCCTTTCTAATCGCTCTTCCGTCAGGTTTAAGAGAATGGGGAACGAATGAGACAGATACAAAGAGACAACAACACACACGGAGAATGCCACGAAAAGTCAAAGAGGCAGCGGCACCAACAGACAGGCAGAAACAGGGAAAGATCGACCAACATACTGAACCGGCAAAGAGAAAATCGGGAGTACACATTAAAAGGAAGAGATGACACGGAAGGACAAAGAGCAAGACACATGAGAGCCTCCACAACCAAAACACAAAACAGCAGGAGACATTCCATGAAGCGACTGGGCCTCACTCGGTGACTTCTCACCTCGCGTTGCTCAGAGCAGCCACGGCACTGTCGACAGCGTCGTCCCTTCGGTGTTCATAACCTGTGGCGGGCCCCACAGTAAAGCGCATTACCGGGCCGATGCCTCGAAGGGGGGCGGATGCATCTCCTGCGAGAGCTGCACCCTTTCCTGCAGATGCGTATTCAGCCGACCGCTGCCGAGGGGCCTCCGCCTTCAACGCGGACCGTGAGACAGGCAAGGAGATCTCCGCATCCTTCGCCGTCTCCTCTGTCTCTACCGCCTGCTCGACTGACTCCGAAGATGGTGTAGAATCCCTGCATGCACACAAGATGGTAAATGATTCACTGAGGGACCCGAAAGAACACGGACACTGCAGCTCCAATAAGGAAGCAGTGCAGTGCAAGCAGTGCAGTGCTCAAATTAGACACTAAAACACGGACAAGGAGGCAACACAGCTCAAATAAGGATACGCTACAGGGTCTACTGCAAGGGGAAGACCATCGGGAAAGAGGCAAATGCCTTACTGGAGACAGTCTTTTGGAGAAGCAGGTGTCTCCTCTTCAGAGGGCTCCGCGAGGCCTTCAATGCTGCGTTGACTCGCCGGAGACTGGGGAGTCTGTTGAAAGGGACAGAGGACACACACAAGACGACAAGATTTTTCCCTGCTGCTCTTGCATTTTGGCTATGGCAAAGGATGCAGCATGTGGGGGCAAAACCTGGTAGCGCTGCATGCCAGGAGTTTGTGCGCTGCCTATACGGAAGTCCCTCGAGGGCCGCCGTGTTTGTTACCACTTGGGTAGAGGCCGAATCTCTGCAGCAAAGGCAGCGCATGCAAAGCAAACCTCCACGAATAAAGGACAACACATCGGACAGGCCTATGGGCTTGATGTATGCTCCGCTCTAGCGGTGGTTCGGGGACGTAGCGCAACGCCTCTGGGGGACCTTGCGGAAGAGCCCCTTGGGGTGAGCATACCCCTAGAGACAGTTTGGGGACAGTATTCTGTGTCACAGCGGGGCAAACTCACTGCCGTTTTTCTGTCGACAGGGGCTTCATCAGAGTCGAATTTGCATCCGTCTGGGTTGTACGATCTTCCACTGGAGGCGGGAGACACCTCGGCTCAGGTGGGCATTGCTGAATTTGCCCCTGGCACTGCAAAAAAGTATGCAGAACGCCAAGGGCCTTCCGGCACATCGCCACCTCGCACTGCAACAAAGCAACAGCGGCAGCAGAAGCAGCAGTGGAGACGCAAAGAAGTAAGAGGTGTTCCCCCTGCATATGAGCTCTAGAGGGGGAAAGGGAGTTGTTTTATCTTGTATTTCGTCTCTACTCAGCCGGCGCTAGCCTGCAGAATGCAATTACCTCCAATGCTGACACTTGGTCCTCTCTGTTGACAAGCTTCCTACGCAGGTCTTTGATTTCAGTGCTCTGTTTTTCTGTTTGAGAGCGCAGCTGCGACGGAAAAGGAACATCCACAGCCCCACACTAACGCAGCACGCGTAGAATGTGTCTGCGACATTCTACTGAGCTCATCAACTCCACAGCGGCCACGCAGAATACAGCACCCAAGACTCATGCAGCAGCAGGAGAAGCAGCAGAGTCAACACCAGCAGGCGCACCTGCTGCAGAAGCAATTTTTCTGCCGCTTCGGGTCCGTGCGCCTCGGCGAGCCGGTGGAAGTTCATCAATGTGGAGGCCTATATCAAAGCAAGAGCAACAGCAGTAACGGCAGCAACTTAGTTCTGGCACGTGAAGGCCTTACTATAACTTGCAGTAACTGTCGCTTTGTACAACACCCTGCTAAACCAATCAGCGTCGACTCACTTCTGCCTGTAACTGTTCGTTTACTGCTGCCAGCGATGCAATGTGTGCCCTCAGCTTCATTTCTGCCACATGTTTGCGCTTGAGGGCCTCTTGCAGGTGCTGCAAAACAACGTCGACACAAACGAAGGCCTGTAAGAGACAGGCGAGGGGACGCGTGCAGGCTGCAGCAGAGACAACGGCACACATCTAAAACGAGGTATCGAGGGAGGAACAAACGCTATGGAGTCGAACTTGCCTCTCTCTCCCCTCCTAGCATTTGCAGCTGTTGTAACAGCTGCTGCTGCTGCTGCTGCTGCTGCTTGACTGTCTCTCCTATCTCCTGACTACCCATCTCAGAAAGGGGACCTAAGGGAACAATATCAGCGATCGGTGCCGGAGTGTTGGATTGGGTAAGGAACTTCTTGCCAAGCTCCTGCAAATGCATTTCTCTGTAGAGACATCCCACAAAGTTGTGTGTGGCCTGCAGAGTAGAACAGAAAGATGAAGCAACCGCCTGCTTTGCTTTTGAAAGAGAATAGAAGAGTCCCGCACGCCCTTTCAAGGACGACACTGCGCTGCCGCTGTTGTTGCTGTTTGCAGCACCCCGAACTATTGCAACTAAACACCTAGTCTCAGTAGCAACAGCAGGAGGTGACACACCTGTTTCTCCGCTTCAGCAAGCCGCGCCTGCAACTCGAACAGGTAGGCCTGTAGGGCCCTTCTGCCTTCAGGTGTCTCCTGCCAGATATCTTCGCCACTCTCTTCGGCAGACGTCTTCGAAGCCGGAAGACAACAGAGACCCTCAGCAGCAGCTGAATGTGGCTGGATCTGTGGAGAAATAGTAGATGTTCTGAATTGTCTCTCCACGTCAGGAGCAGCAGTAGCTGCTGCTACTCCTGAGTGAGGATATTCATTATTTACGTTAGCAGCAGCAAGGCCCTCCTGAGAACCTTTTGCGCAGCTGCTGTTTCGCAGAGGACTCTGGGCCTCACGAGAGGGCTGAGTATACACCTGCAGTCTTCTTTCCCCTTGCCTTCTTCTGTCTCCTTTTCTCCTTCCTGCTATGCCGAGCATTTCCAAGGCAACTTCTGCATCAGAGAGTTTCTGCCTCGTGCTGGTGTTCCTGCCACTGTTACAAGGGGCTTCAACGGCCCCTTGCAAGCTACAGGAAGGATCCACTGCTGGTACGGCGGCTGCGGCAGCAGCAACGCCAGCAGCAGCATATGTTTCCTGTGCCTGTTGTGAGTTGTCTCTCCTGCTGCAATGCATCCCCACCCCAGCAACTTCAGCCACCTCAGCAGCTGCAGCTGCAGAGCCTCTCGAAGGAGAGCATTCAGAGAGCACAAGGCCGGCTATAGGACCTTGCTTCTGCTGCTGCTGCTGTAGGTACGGTTGTTGCTGCCACGAAGGAACAACTCCTCCATTTCTGGAGACACCTGAGTTCATCTTGATACCCAGAGGGACCGCATCCGCCCCCATGCTTTGATTGCTGCAGGATCTAAGGGAGGCACCCGAATAGTGTAGAGGTGTGTTGTCGGCACTGCTGTTGAGCTGCTGCTGGAGCAGCGTCTTCTGTTTTTGCTGGAGGGCGTTTACACGCTCCAGCTGCTCGCGCTGTTGCTGCAGCTGCAGTCGCCTCTGGTAGACTATCTCCTGCTGTTGCAGCTGCCTCTGGTGCTCTGCTGCTATTGCTGCTGCATCGCATGTGCAGGCAGACAGACTGCAGCAGCAGACCGGACACATGCGCAACCAGGAGGCACCGGCTGACGCTGCTCCTGCTGCTGGGATCGGTGCTGCTGCCCTTGTCCCTACCGTTGCTGCTGTTGCTGCATCAGATAAACCTGAAGTAAGCCTGCTCTGAGCATCGAAGGCTTTCAACCCCAGGCTACCGGCGGGGCCCCAGCTGGCAGGGGCACCCTGCTGGTGTGTCTGCTGAATTGGAGGGGCCCCCGCCATAGGCAATCGCTTTTAGACACTCCTAAGCTCCTTTTATTGCTCCCCACCAACATACAAATAGCTAAGCAGCAAATAAATGGCAAAAACACTCACAGGAGATCCCCCAGCAACCGCGAGGCCCAGTGGTCTGCTGCCTCGGCGGCCGGTGGCCTTGCTGCAGATGCTGCAGCGGCAGCACCCGCTTCGGCGGCCGATGGCCTTGCTGCCGATGCAACAAGAACTTCCCTTCAGAGTATGGGGCCTCCAGAATATTTAGAAGGAGACGAACAGCAGAAGGCTACAAAAGAGACCCGGGCCTGGCGGCAGCCGTGAAGGGACAGTGGGCAGGAGACAGGAGACAGGAGGCAAGGGACAAGAGACAGGGAACAAGAAGACAAAAAGACAATAACAATAGTTATAAATAAAACAAAACTTGATTTTAAATTAACGTTGGGGGAGAAGGGGACGCAATGAAACAACGGGCCCCCGGCAGCTCTTCAACAAGAATGCAACGTCGGCCGCCGCTGCTGCTGTTGCTGTTGCTGTTGCGGCGGCTGCCGCTGTTCCTGATGTTGCCTTTGTTGCGGCTGCTGCTCGCTCGTATTTATTATTCCCTTCGTCCAGGAAAGAGAAATACAGATGGGGACAATAATAATTAAAGAGACAAAAAGGTGTCCCGTTACACCTTTAGTCCTTCAGTCTTGGCAGTTAACCGCTCCGGCTGCACAGGTTCCATTGGCCTGCGATGCCCCCTTTGTGTCTCCTTGCCTTTTGCTCCTCCCCTTCTGTCGCCTTCTATCTCATATTTGTTCATTTATGATATTAGAGCTCCTTCCGCTTCATTCTGCCACCCTTTTCCCCCTCTTGTTCGCCCCGCTCCTCATGTATTTCCTCCTGTCCCCTCACGCCACATTTGCCTCTTTCAGTCTCCACCTGACTTTTTTGTCCCCTTCTATCCCATTTCTGGGTATTCTGTCTCCTTTTGTGTCCCTATTCTCCATGTGTCTCCTTCTGTTCCGCTTTCGCACATCCTATCCCTTCCCGTGCCAAACCCGCGAACTTCTGTTCCCTGTCTACTGCCACTTTCCGTCTCCTGTCCCCTTTTCCTTGCTTCTATATAGTGACTTTCAATAACTAAGATATACCGGCGTCTGCTGATAACTGCCTCCAAGCCGTCAGCCTATTATCTAAAAGACCTCCTAAACTCCAAGGTAGTCCACCAAGCCGACACAACCGTTGAACAGCTCCTAAACCCTAGCACAGCCCCAAATACCTAAAACCTAAGAGTTCAGAAATCCTAAACCCTAACCACCTAGGCATTCTCTGCTCCATGCATTAAGCCCATTAGTGGTCGGCTCTCTGAATTTTATGCAGGAAGCAGCTCCTAGATATTAAACCCTAAACTCTACCATAACTAAACCCTAAGCCCTCAGCCAGAAGTGGATTTAAGAGACCTTAAAACACCTGTGGGTGTGTCAGGCCGAAGAAGGACACAGCGGTAGCTGTAACTTCGGCTATCTACCATTTTCTAGCAATTATAGGAGTAATAAACAGCCGCAGATTGCTGGCGAGTGCTGTAACAACACACTACTGTTGCAGCAGCATCATACTCTTACTGCAGCTGCAGCTGCTGCTTAAGAGAATTTCCATGTTTAATGGGTTTCTCTCTAAGCAAGCGGGGAGACAATCCTGAGGAGCAGACGCTCATAAGGGAAGAAGGGGGCCGAGGCTTTGCTGATGAATCATATTAAAGCTGCTGCTCGAAAACAAAAACCAGCTGAAACGGCAGCAACCGCAGCTGCTGGCGGGGCTGCTGCGGCTATTGCTGCAGGTAGTGCTACAGTACAATTTAGAAATCAAGTCCTGCCTTCCTCGCTCCATCGGCGAGAGCAGCAACTCTTCCAGCAAATCTGCACGCGACAACAGAGACAGACAGTTTAGCGGCGGCACCGGAAGTAATGGACTTACGGGGACGGTAACAAACAGAGACAGATGCATGCATGCATGCGACTGCAACAGCAGCAGCAGAAGTTGCAGCATGGATACCTTCCGCACCTGTACTTCTTTCTGTCAAAATAGACTTTCCTTATCCCTGCACGGAGCCCCCGCTCTGCCACCAATGCCCCAACAGCTGCCGCTGCATGCAAAGTGCCCCCATGCTGCCTCGGCACAAGTCCTGCAGCAGCAGCAGCAGTAGGAGCAGCAGAAGAAGCACCGTAGCAGCAGATGCCGCTGTAAGGAGAAAAAGCCTTTGCAATTGCGCCGCCGTAGGCAACAGTAGCAGCAGCAGCAACATCGAAACGGCTGCAAGTGCAGCGGGGGACAACTCTACCACCATTAGCCGCGGAAGTGTCACTAGTCACTAGCAGCACTCGAAGCAGCAGCATCAACAGCAACAGCAGCAAGAACAGCAGCAAGGGTATGAGGGAAAACTCTATTGTACCCTTCTTTCTCTGTACAGTCTTGAGGGTTTCTTTTAGTTCTTTGTCTTGGGAGCTTGCAAAGGCAAAGGTACGCTGGCGAGAAGGATCAGTGATGCAGCTGTAAATATGATTGTTGCTAAGAGTCACTGTTAGACGCATGCGAGCAGCAAAGGCCCCACCATAGCCCTTGCCTGGTGCTGCACCTGCTGCTACGCCTCCTGCTGCACCTGCCGCTGCAGATGCTGCCTCGCCTGTTGCAGAACCGGGGCAATCGGAGGCAGCAGCTGCTGCTCCAGCTGCCACATCGCTGTCACAGCCCTCCTCCTCCATACTCCAAACGATGCCTGAGCCTTCGTCGGCAGCAGCATAAGTTCCATCAACAGTATCAGCAGCAGCAGCTTCTGCTGCTCTTAGGCGGCCTCTGCCATGACGCCACGAGCAGACAGGGACACCTGGAAGGCCCCCCCAAATAGTTGCAGAGGCTCCAGGTTGGGGCCCCCCGAGCGGGACGCCGCTAACAACGCGGCCGCGAAGTAGGAATGCTGTGCTGCCATCGAGCAGCAGCAACAGTACCAGCAGATCCACAAGCAGCAGCTGCTGCAGCTGCTGCACATGTTGCCTTCCGGGTAGGGGCTTCATGGCGTTCGCAGATCTGCCGAGACATTTCTATATATTGGGGCCCCTCAGGGGGCCCCAAGCACAGGCGTTGTAACTCGCTGGCGGGGAAACCCCAGCGAGTAAATGTTCGGGATTATAAGATAGCAACCAGATCTTGAAATAAATGAACAAAAACACACTACGGATAGGAAGCACTCATAGGAAGCGGATCCGCAGTTGTGTGACCCTGGGGCCCTTTGGGGCCCCCCAACACCACGCAGGGACCCAAAAGGTGTGTAGGAGGCATGCGTCAAGGAACATTCGTGTTTCCGTTTTCTATGAAGATAATATTTGCGTACGAACTGATTTCAGGTAGCGCCTCTACAACAGCAGCATCAGCGTCTGCAGCAGGGTGACAACGAACACGCTCTGAGCAGCCTGACTGACGTTGGTGCTAAAGTTGCTGCTGCAGTTGCTGCTGGGTCTGGATATACGGAGGCATCTGCAGCAGCTGCTGCAACAGCACAATTCCAAACAGCATATGCTATAGCAACAGCTGCAGGAACAACTGGAGGAACTTCTGCAGCAACCGCTGTTGGAACAACGGCAGCGACCTTGCCAGAGTAGCAGCAGCAGCCAATCAGGAAACTGCAGCAGGAACAGAAGAAATAAAGAAGGCTCCAGCAGGAACCCTAGCAAGGCATATACGTAGGTTGAGGCTTAGAGAGCAGCCCACAGGAAAGGCAGCCCCAGCAGAGGCAGCAGCCGAAGCAGCATGATCAACCTGGAGGCAGGGTACGCCCCCCCTTTGTCTTTAAAGGGAGAGGGAGACTCCGTTGTGTCTGGACAGCTGACGCATCATTCTACTGCCTCTGCAGTTGGCGCCCCTCACGGGGGGGCCCCTGCGGGTTCCCCTTCCACAGGGGGGGCTCTGTTGTCTCCTATAGGAGACTTGTTTCCGGGATCTGCTCATCCTGGAGTTTGCTTCTTCCACTTCTTTTTCAAGTGTCTCTCTCTATTGAGGTGAGGATGCCATTCTTGTTGATTTCTGTTCCTCGTTTGGGGTCTAAGCTTGTCTCTGCATGTTTCCTGTGTGCCTTGCCGCCGCTGTTTCCTCTATCTGCTGCATTCGCTGCCAACGCTTCTTCCATCGCATCCATCTGTATGCTTTCTGCGCCACTCCCTTGCGTTGTATCGCCACCTCAATATCCCTATCTTCGTGTCCCTGCGTCCTTCGGCAAAAGCCTCCTGTCCTCGTTTTTATATCAGTCTGTGTGTCTGTCTCCGTTTCTATTTCTCCTCATTGCCTCCCCCTGCCATTTTTGCCTGTACTTATATTTTGTATCGTTTTCGCTTCTCCTCCGGTGTGTGCTCCGTGCTTTTCCTTGTTTGTTGCGGCACCTGTATATCGCTTTATCTCTCTCCCACTCCACACTTCGTCATTGTTCCTTGTGCCTCTTCTTATCTTTTTTTCCTTCTTTCTGTCGTTTTCATTCGTCTCTCGATAACTCCCTGTCTGGCAGAAACACAGCTGAGGTCTTCTATCTCTTTCCCGTCTTAGTATTTGAGGTGTATGTGCACGTGTGTCTGTATCCTTGCGCTTTTCCTATTTGTTCCCTTTTCCCTCTCACTTGTGTCGAATTCTTGCTTATTTGTTGCTGCACATCTGTTGGTGCGCCTTTTCTGTCGCCCGTTGTTGCTGCCTCTTAGTTTGTGGCTGTCGATTTTTGTTTGTGATGTTTTGTTCTTCCTATCTGTCGTGTGCTCTCCGTTGGGTCTTGTTTGGTGTTTGTAGTTTGGTAGTTGGGTTAGTTTATTTGTAGTTTGCTATGTGACCTTTGTTAGTCGGTTATTGTTATTTGTCATTGGGTATTGGTTTCTTAGTGGGATTTGTTCCGATTTGTTGTATGCTGCTGGGAGTTATATAATTGGGACTATTTTAACTTCTTTTTTGGAGTTTTTTCGGATTTGTCGTTTGTTGGTTTTAGTTATTTTTTAGGTTCAACACTATTTGGATCTGCTGCTGGCGGTGGTGATTTTGCCATCTCCTTTGTCGTAACAACGGTCTTGCTCGCCCTAGACTTCTGGACAGTCAAAAATGTCTCCGGCAGGTATGCTTCCATGCTGCTGGTGCTTTGGCTGCTGAATTCGCCACTTATGCAGCTGATTGCGCTGCTGCTGCTGTTGTCTGTTTTTGGATTTCTTCCGTCGGCGAGCTCTTTGTGCCGCCGCTGTTGCTGTTGTTCTGGTGCCAGCGCCCTTGCCTTCAGGCTGCTGGCAGACTGCAACAGGAACAAGCAGCAAACAGCAACAGTAGCCGCAGCAGCGACAGCAACAGCTCATAGGCTGTTGCCACTGCTTCGTGGCGCTCTGCCGGTTTTTCCTGCCGTTATCGCAGCAGTAACAGGAACAGCAGCACCAGGAGCAACAGGGATAGCACAGCACCTGCAACGGTAACACCAGCAGTAGCAGCATGCGGAAGTATCGGAAATGGCGTGTTTTCTGTTGCCGTTCGTTCTGTATTTGTGTCTATAGGAAGCTCGTTGGCCTCTGCTGGCAGCACCGTGTTGCAGAAGACGGGAGCGGTGAATGGACCTTCCAAAAGGCGCCCGTACGCCCTCAACCAGCTGCTACTGCTGTTGCTGTTGCGGCCTGCGTTAAAGGGTGAATGAGGACAACAGGAGAGACAGCAGAACACGGGCTCGGCAATACGCAAAGCAGGGAGAACCACTGGTGCGACGTACCCACGAAACGTGTTGTCCAGGCTGTCTCGTCTACTGCTGCTGTTTGTGTTGATTGCAGGCAGGCAGGCAGATTTCCGCTATTGATTATCGCATATTTTGGGGGGGAGTTCTTGGGTGGGCTGTTTTGTGGTTTGCCCTCTTCATCAACTCCTTTGTATCTCTAGACCTGCTTTGGGTGAGGCGTTAGAGACACTCCTTTGTTTGTTTCCTTTTTTGCTGCCCTCGAAACTCTGTCTCCTCTCATCTGGCTCCTCCTTTTTCTGTCTCATGCAACCTTGTGAGTGCATCTCTTTCCGTCTTTGTGCTCCCGTGGCATTCACAAAGCTGTGACTCCTCGTGGCCGGAGATGCTCCTGTATGCTGTGACTAGCCTCTCCTCCTGATTGTGTCTCGTGTCGTCTCCTCCATTTCCCTCTTTGTCTTTTCCACCTGCTCCTGCTGGTTGTATGGCGAGTGTCTGTCCTCTGGCAGCTATTCTGTCAGTATAGTAAAGCGATAGCTGAATCATGCCAGCTTCAGCTGCTGCTTCCGCGTCTGTTAAGGTTCAAGATGATGATGTGTTTTTCTTCTGCAGTCGCTGATAGCAATTGTGGGCTTAGCACTTTCCGGCACTAACTTTGTCGCCTTCTACAAATGCGCTCGATGTATGTCCCCTCCGCTGCTTCTTCTGCGGTTGCTGTGTCTCCCACTGAGAGAGCCTTGAGAGCTTACGGGTAATCAAGGCTTCTCGGGATTATCGCACATGCTGTTATCTCCCCCTGCTGCTAGTTTTGCTGCTATTCTTGCCGCCAAGTCTACGAATGTGCTAACCTTTGCTGTTGGTGGTTATTGTGTCTGTACAGCCCAATCCCCGACGGAGGCCGCCCTGTCGAGCTGGGGCGCTGCTACGTGGAGGCACGCTGTCATGTCTCGTTTGGGTCTGAGCTAGGTCGGCTCCAGGCCTACAGCTACCTAGTTGTATCCTGTCTCCCTCAGTCGTGTTGCAGCAGCACAGCCTCGGTGTCCCGCGCATTCACCGAAGCGGGGTCTTTTTGGAGAAATCTGGGGAGTTGATATAGGAACACCGGGTGCCCAGCTGTGCAGTTCCTCTCTGGTCATCGAGCTGCGTAGCTCACCAGTTGGCTAGTGGGTGCCCCTATACAGCCCCCGAGCTAACTGGCTATCTGCCTTCGCAGCATGCCTCCTTCGTAGCTTTCTGGCAAGTTATTTGTGCCGCTAGCAAGCCAGCTAGCTGATTATAGGCCTGGCTAGCTAGAGCTATCCAGGCAGAAGTTGCGGGGAGTCTTCCTGGCCGCTGCTGTCGACAGAAGCGCTGCTGTGTGCTACCAGACTCCTACAGCAGTTTTCTGGAGGGAAGGGGCTAGCTACTAGGACTCTGGCTATTCTCAAACCAGACGGTCCTCCAACCATTGCTCCCTGCTCCCAGAGGAGCATCCAAACACCCAGTTGCTAGCTAGCTGCAGGCAGCTCTGTCTAGGTAGACAGTACGGCCAGCAACGAGTTGCACCGTGTAGTCCCTGAACCACAGATCCCTCCTTCAGAAACCCGCAAAAGTGAACGTACACCGAAGAGAGAAGGCACGGAACAAACATCCAGAAGGATGTGAGGTGTTGCTCACGTGGCCCTTACCTCTGAAGCAGAAATCTTATACACCCTGAACCCTTGAAGGCATACTAATGTCACAGTGATGGGCCACTTAGTGATGCACGCGAATAGCAAGACACAAACAAACTGACAGAAAATATGTGCATGCAAATGCGCACATACATACAAACAAAACGGGCATGCATTGATGCAACATTCAGAA